GTGTGTGTGTGTGTGTGTGTGTGTGTGTGTGTGTGTGTGTGTGTGTGTGTGTGTATGTGTGTTGGTATTTCTGTGTCGATATGTGTGCTTTTATGGGTTTCTGTGTCTCTATGTGTCTCTGGGAGTTTCTGTGTTTCCCTGTGTCTCTATGTGTCTCTGTGAGTCTTTGTGTATGTCTCTGTAATTTATGGGTGTATAATAATGTGTCTCTGTGTGTCTCTGTGTGTCACTGTGTGTTTCTTTGTGTCTCTGTGTGTCTCTGTGTGTCTCTGGGTCTCTGTTTGTGTTTTTTTGTTTCTGTATATTTCTGTGTGTCTTTGTGTGTCTGTGTGTGTCTGTTTGTCTTTGTGTGTCTGTGTGTCTTTGTGTGTTTGGGTGTGTCTGTGTGTCTCTCTGTGTCTCTATCGTCCTGTGCGTGCTTCTGTGATTCTCTGTGGTTCTCTGTGAGCTTCTTTGTCTTTCCAAGTATCTCTGTGTCAAATTGTTGATTAATGTGGATACTTGTTCTTGTACAATAAATTGTGAGGCAGCGTGGTGGAATCAGGTTCTCGTCAATTTTTAGACATGAAGAGTTATTGGTATCATCTTAGAAGTTGTTCACTTGTCTTTATTTGGATGAAAAAAATATCCATTTATGTTGAATACAAGTCGAGATATTTGCAAAAGAAGGAGGTGGGGGTCACCTATTTTCGGAGGTAAAATTAATGAGAAAATGGCCCCCAAAGATTAGTTATTTCCTTAGCTTAAGAGTCCATGGTAACTGAAAATTTACATTTTATGTGCCTTTAATCAACGTTTTCCAGAAAAATCCACACAGAAATTAGTTCTTTAATGGGCATGAAAGGTGTTGAGCCGAAAAACAAAAATTTGATAAAAATTCACAAACCTGCGGACAAATGCAAGTTTCTTCATTTTTATTTTTTTGACGAGAGCCTGATTCCACCACGCTGCCTCACAATTGGTTGGATATTAAAACGAAGTTTGTAAAGGATCCATATTGTAATATCTAGATTGATTATCTCATTCGTAATTTCTATGAACATTGGCTATTTTTAAAAAATGGATGGCAAGTTATGATTAAAGGAGGATATCTGAGGAAGAACACGATTTTGTTTTTGTTTTCTTATAATGAATGTGTTTTACACCCCCATCAACACAATTTAGATCAACCCGGGCTGAGTGGAATTCAACATCCCAGCAAAAAGACCGAGATATTCAATAAAAAATTTAAAAATTCTCCCCACTCTGGAATCGAATGTTCTGCGTTCGATAGCGAAGCTCGCTACATCACAGACGCAAATGAACAAGTTTACCAGCCGTTGAGAGACTATTCAAAATGAATAATTTGAGAGTGATTTAAAATGAACAATTTTGGTTCAATAGTTCCCCGTCTATAAAGATATAAAAGTAAAAGACAAATGATTATGTACCGATATTGGTCTAAAGTAATACTAGTCAATGTTAAAAAGCGCACGTTCTGTAAATCTGGAGGATTGGGTGGTTGGTGGTTGCTCTGGTGTGATTTGCTCCTTCTTTCCTTTTCTATCATCCATATTTTCCCCCCTTTTCTTTTCATATTACTCTCTTGTGACACTTCCAATCTTCGGCACTCATATAACCTATTTGTGATGCAAGTGCCGTAAAGCGCGTACTAAAACTGATCTAAAACAGGATGTATGTTGCTCTCTGGAACAACGTGTATTTGTTAGCCTATACGAAATAGAAACGCATTTCATGTCTGAACAACGTAAAGCAATCATATCAAGTGTCCTAACTGTGTAATGTATACCTCTGCAAGTAAAGTAGTTTTTGTCAGACATTTTCGGGGCCTCAGGGTCTTGTAAAAAGACACGTAAATCAATGTTAGTGCCTGTCTATCTGTCTGCCTGTCATTTTTGATATGTATCTGTCTGTATGTCTGTATGTATGTATGTCTAGCTGTCTGTGTGTCTGTCTGTCTGTGTCCGCCGCCATCAGAGTATCTCCGCCCGTCTCTCTCCGTCTTGTGTTTCTCTGTCCCTGAGTTTTCTGACGTGCTCTTCTCATCCTGTAGTTTTCCCAATATGTAATTGTAGATGTCCCAATATGTAACTGTCGATATCCCGATATGTAACTGTCGATATCCCGATGTGTAATTGTAGATATCTCAATATGTAACTGTCGATATCCCGATGTGTAACCGTCGATATCCCAAAGTATAATTGTAGATATCCTAATATGTAACTGTCGATATCCCAATGGGTAATTGTAGATATCCCAATATGTAACTGTCGATATCCCAATGTGTAATTGTAGATATCCCAATATGTAACTGTCAATATCCCGATGTGTAATTGTAGATATCTCAATATGTAACTGTCGATATCCCGATGTGTAATTGTAGATATCTCAATATGTAACTGTCGATGTCCCAATGTGTAATTCTAGATATCCCAATACGTAATTGTAGATATCATAATATGTAACCGTAGATCTCCTATATGCAATAGTAGATTTCACAACATGTAAATCTGTAGGTTTCCCAGGATGTAACTCTCTAGATTTCCCAACAAGTAACTATTGTTTGTCTGTGTATCCACAGGCTGCCTAGTCTCGGACGTCTGCGACCAGGGGGAGATATGCACCAATGGTGAGTACTATACGCGCACGCACGCACTCATCTGCAAACATACCCCCCCACACCCACACACACAAACGAACGGACAAACGTACAGGTCCATCCTCACAAGCATAATAATATACGCACACAACTGCACACTCATGACGCCCCCTCCCTCCTCTTTTTCTCTCTCTCTCTCCATCTTGCCCTCTCCATCTCTCCATCACCATCTCTTTCTTCTGTCTCCCACCTTCCCCCTCTCTATATTTTACAATATTATGTTTTGTTCTCTTTCACTGATCTTCTCTTTATTTAAAAAATTGTTACATCTCTGTGCATTCCTTCCCTACGCCTCTCTTTTCATACCACTTTCCCTTCTTTTTTCTCTGTATCACGGCGTTTACTTGACTTAATTGTGATTTCCTCTTGTTTGTTTGTGGTCACTGAAACTGACGCCCCTCCCAAAAACGTGCGTTAGAATGATCAGACCAAAATGTCGATATGACAGCTTATGCGACGGGGGAGGATGGGGTGGGGCCGGGATGGGGCGAGGCTTGTTGGTGCAAGCGGTTGGGCGGGGATAGGGGTAGAAGAAGTAGAGAGGCAGCGGAATGACTCATACTCATAATAAATATTATATCTGCATGCGAGGCTTGTTCCTCGCTCGTTGTGGTCGTCGCCGCTAACGATCGTATGTGAGTGTGTACTCGTGCAAGAATAATTCCAATACCCGAACGTCCGAAAGAGGACTTTGAGAAGAAAATAATAAAGTTGTCAAAGGTATACAATGTTAATGCTAAAGCAAGTTAATAATCATGGGGAACATGTGCATACATTGCCTAAGCTTGTTTTTTTTTTTTTTTTACCATTATCGTCATCATCATCGTCTGCATAAAGTGCCAGATCTGAAACAAACATCGACAATCATTGCACTCTATTTCTTTGCTGGGATGCTCTTGAAAAACATCCTGGTCTTTCCCCGGCACCGACCTATTTTGGTTTTCTAAGTAAGTTACGAGGGTGCGGTGCCGGAGCGGTTAGTGCGCTCGTCTCCGAAGCGGAAAGTCCGGGTTCGAGCCCTGATTCGGACACTGATTTTTTTCGCCCCCTCCGGCCCACCCAGCAGTAATGGGTACCTCACTTCGAGTTGGGGAAGTAACGGCGGCGTGGAAAGGAACTAGCTACCCTACCACAATATGCCGAAGGCTCAGGAAGTTGTCTCACTAACAAGGCAATCCCCAATGTCCGGATCGGATGCCGGAACAACTTTAAGTAAGTTGCACTTAGTGTACGCATGACTAGTTTGCCTTCTATCTTTCCAGTGTGAGCAAGATGTTTAAGGCTTTTTACATCTATTCAAGTGTCGCAGAAACTGCATCTGTCTCTTCCTAATTGTTCCTATTCGTGAAAGTCCCACGTGGACTTCTCTAGGAACAACCTTGTTTTGGTTTCTTTTCCTTTCATTAAATTCTCATAAAGAGCCTTCTACATTTTGACCCTATTTAATTTTGAGAGAAATTAACATTTGATTTATTTCATAAAGAAGGTAACAGTGAACATTATTGTTAGAGCTTACATGTATATAGTTACCATACTCCACAGAAAGGTTATATTAGCTTGATTTTATATCCTGTAAAAAATTAGACATTCTCTTCATTTAATGACGTGTCTCATTGCTTGTATTGCCACTTTGGCGAGAGAGTACCGGCAGATATTTATGTGTAGGTAACTGTCATCAGTGTTATACTGACATTGATAGACAATGCCTCTTCAAACGTTCTTCAAAATGAATTTCAACGACTTAAAAAATCCGTAAACCTGGTTCTGGGTTGGCAGCTCTTAATTTAGTGTACTCTCTCTCTCTTTCTGCAGGAATGGAATTGTAGTCATTGCTATGTTACTGTAGTACTGATTACTAATAACTTTTACCCCAAAAGAATATATATATATATATATATATATATATATATATATATATATATATATATATATATATATATATATATATACATAATATATAATATATATGTATAACCCATTTTATCTCCACAACGAATCGTCGTCTGAGTCAAAAACTCCTGTAAGCGACATTTTCCAAATTTTACAGGAGAAACAAAAAACTTCACCATTTTTGCAGTTTTGGGTCTATAGGATTGAAACTTTCACATAATACACATGAAAACAACACAAATACGTTTCTGTCACACATAAGTATAAAAACAACCATTTTCAATGAAATACGAGGATATACAGGAATTAACTACTGAATCTTTATTAAAAACGTGAACATAAACTCCTGTATGGGACACATACAGGATTTCTTTACTGATATTGGAAAAAAATGGAGAATAGATGGCGCATACAGGATTTAAGTAAACAGAAAGTGGAATCATATAAAATTCAGAGTGCTCAAACACAATTTAGTTCGTCTTTTGTTGAACTGCACAATACGGTTTTCAAAATCATAGTCAATCTGATTGTCATAAATCTATATGAAAAGACCAAAGGTACAAAAAGACCTCTAAAATGCTTGGAAAATGATTATATATCTAAATACATGAAACATTTTGACTGCCAGAAATAAAAAATCAAACCCCAGAGAGTATGTCTGAATGTCGTATAACGTATTCGTAACCCGTAAAGTCATTCTTTGCATCGGAAAAGACTGCAGGGTGTACTTACAACATTACCAATTTGACGAGTAAAAAATACATTAGGAATAGATATGCGTAGTATGAGTTAAACATTAGCAGTTGGACGCACTCATTCACACCTATCATGTGAAAAATGTAACATAATACATTTTTAACCAAGCAAAATAACTAGATCTATCATAATTGCTGGAACTTTTATTAGGCCTATCTAGTTAGAACACTCACAGAACAGGGACACTCTGGTGCAGAGGGTGATGAGCTGGTGGGATCAGGTTTGATGAACACAATGAAATGAGGCCATGTGAATAGCTAATTGAAAAGTAAAACTGGAAACAAATTTGCTGTTTGTCTCGAAAAAACAAGGAAACTAACCATGGCACAAAGAGTATGCCAATGCAAATATCAAGAACTTCTCTGGCTAAAATTAGTAGCAACATATTGAAGCACTTTAAAATATCCTTGTCGCAACAAACTCCTGGAAACTTTTTTGAAAACTTGAGCTGATAGCAACTAATGTTTCCTATTACAGAAAAGGGAGATTCTGGTACAGAGGGTGATGAGCAGGTGGGATCAGGTTTTTTTAACACAATGTCATGAGGTCCCTCTTTTTGTCCTCTGACACACCAGCTGGTTCACTGAACACTGATACGTTCAATAGCTGTTCACCTAGTTCTTCTGATTTCCGTCTGCGTTGTATCTGGTCAACTCAACTCAGCAGTCTTTCTCATCTTAGTGGTTGATCATGGTGTTGTTCTCATTTTAAAAGAATGTATAGCCCTGATCTTTGTCCATTTGATCTTCTCGCTACCTTCGTCATTATGTAAGTTCTAGAGTCTGTTCTGGTGTGAATATGTACTGGGATTTGTTTGGCAGCATGGACAATCACAGAGTGCACGAAGTCATTCTCACTCTGAGTGTGTTCGACTTCTAAGAAGCCGTGCTCAAGTTTCTGTAGAGAGGGCAGTGTTTTCAGACAGCTAAAACGTCATCGCGATGTACCTGTTCCGATTTGGGCCCGTGCAGTCGTCTTAAATAAAACGAGACACTGTTTTGCTTTGAGCTGCATCATCATCATCAAATGCCAGATCTGTGGCAGACATCGGCGATCATGGTTCTGCTTTCACTCCTTTGCTGGATGCTCTAAAAACACTACGTTACCCTGATCTTTCCCCGTTACCCATCAGTTTAGGTTCTCTAAGTAGGTAGCTCTGGGCCTACCTCTGCCTTGTTTGCCTTCAATTTTGCCAGTGAGACCTAGATGATTAAGACCTTCATGTCTATTCAGGTGTCCCAAAAACTGCATTTGTCTTTTCCTAATTGTTTCTAACAGTGAGCGTCCCACGTGGGCTTCATCAAGCACCGCATCTGATTATAGTGCCATAATTCAGAGGTAATCTGATTTTTAACCACCTGAAGGCACGTGTTCTGGCCTCATATAGCACTACACGTCTTAGGAACATTTGTCATTCTTTCAAAAGAACCTCTTGATACTTTGAGAGTGAAGCACACGTCTTTCCTTTTCTTCTTTGCAAATCTTGATACAGCCTGTACATTGCGCTTAGGCTCGATCCATCTTCTAGGTATATCCTGCCACTGGATCCACAGCAGTAATCGGACGGACTTGTCGGAAACTGTTGATATGGGCCTTTATACCCTGAACTGTTTCCTCGCCCACAGTGACACTCTCTGATCAGCAAAAACGACACCAACATCAATAATTTTCTCAAAAGCACGTAGACAACATCCTGTTTAATACGTTATGTGCCCAGGAAAAATGTGAGACACACGGCTTGTCGTCAACTACCAGATCTGCAAAGACCGTAGTACAGAGAAGCTTTCAGCCTTGATTGTGCTTTCAGTGTTCCCACACAAGTGGGAATGACCTTTTGACATATGAGACAATGAATTGTCTGGATGTTTATGCCTCCCACTCTTCCAATAGTCGGAGAATATATTTTATTTCTTTTGTGCATCATTTTCTGGTGGCATGTGGGACAAGTTTTGTTACG